TGTGGGTATCAAGAATCAATTCTGCCAGTTCAAAATCGAGATGAGAACGGAAAGGTTTCCATGGGTCGGGATCAACTGGAATGTCAACACTATCGAGATCCTGGAAATTGCTTTTGTACTCATCAAAGCTAAAGAATTGAGGTTGGCGTCCGCTTCTTGGATGGTACTCCACTTTGATGTCATTGAGCTGTGGTGCCTGCTCAAATGGACTAGAGGACCCTTCGTCAGTATGGACTTCACCATGGGGCTCGGTGTTGTTGTTATCGGTGTTGTTGATCATTTCATTTTCATTGAATATTGCTATGTTTGCATCATAGGCTGGGTAACATAAGCAGATGTGTGCTATCAAGTAATACTTACTATTTTCCACATTTCCTGCTTGCAATTGAGTATGTGTATACCCTAGATTGAACTGATCAGCTTGGAAAATCAAGAAAAAAGTGGAAGGGAGGAAATGAATGCTACCAAGAGGAGTGTAGGCAGAGCTTGGCCCAATCACAGGGATAAAAGGGTCTGGACCAAGGCTATTAGCCAGTAATATGCCATCAAGCACTGTACAGCTTACCCAATAACCCCTCTTGTTGTACCTGTTCCTCAAATGCCCTGGATCTTGCATCTGAAGCAACTGCCTCAGGACGAGATTTGCATGATTTTTGGTGCTGTGTTATGCCCTTTGACTTGAAAGGAAGCCCGCAAAAAGTGCATAGAGGGTCTAAAACAGAAGGCTTTAGTGTTCCTTTTGGACCTTTCCCTTTGGGAGGCATTGGGAATGAGGAGGGACGACAGACGTGCGTTCAGCGCGGCGCGCGCACTTTGATTACAGGACAAACATTGATCTTATAATGCAACGTGACCATTATAACGTGACTACATAGCTCCCGATAGCCTTGTAATTTATTATTATTGTAAGGCATCACGGATTTTTCCGACATAGGTATTTATGTAGCATACCAAGAACGTCAAGACGGTCCTCTCGACTTATAAAATCTTCAGCAGCTTGTTTCGCTTGTAAAGGAGTGCTGATGTCGCAAGGAAAGTAAATGGCGTTCCCAGGAGTAATGCCCTCTTCATCCAAGTGTGCAATGGCTGCTTTGCCTTTCTCCTCGTTCCGGGCTCCAAGGTAAACCTTCGCACCCTTCCTGGCGAGGTGCTTTACGGTCGAGTATCCGATCCCATGGCTACAGAAGAGTCAGCCACATATGAAACACAAAACCAGAAAATGACAAGAAATACGAACTTTCCACTGGTGACAACATCAGGAAAAAATGGACTTGCAATATTGGGGTATGTAGACGTGATAGCGTTGGTAGCACCATCGAGAGCCCCCTGAAATATAGCTCGTGGTAGCGGCACTGACAAATACATATCACTACAAATATCGTGTAGTTTGATATACTGAAATTCCTGTAGTTGTACATAGTTCTATGTATGTGATCTCTCTTGGTAGCTTGAGAAAAGTAGAAGCAGAAATGGCTCACTCTTTGGACTGTATCAGGAAACAACCGCAGGTCCGTAGGCGTGTTGTGATGTGTCTACAATTATAGTCTTATTTTTGAAGTGTATACTTTTCTAATGTCTGCATTGAGTGGGATTCGAACTCCAGGGCTTATGATTTTACTTTCCTTTCATTAGTTATCAATAGTTACCACTACACCAGTGGCTAATATATTGTCGATGAATCTCAGGCTACTACAAACCACACAGCTCTTAGATTTCGTTTTAATACCACGTTCAATACCTACAACAAACCAATAACGCATGCACGAAGACTCGACTTGCAATCTAAGGCGTAAACGTGTTCGGAGGACGCAGGAGTGCGGGGAATGGATGGATAGAGTCTGGACTATGCGGATGCGTGGTCTTCTAAAAAATGTGAGTACGCACATACGTCGCGTTGGGTATCGTGCATTCATCCTTCACAGCTTCAACTACCATGGCACCCCTAGTCTCATCTCCCTCGACTGACTCCGAGCATTCGCACTTCACCAAGCCGGCAAACCCGTACACAACAGCTGGGAAACCTACTCTGCATGTCGCAAGATCCTCGGTCGCATTTGATCATCGTCACTCGCGAGGAGAAGACCGTGCTCTTGTTGGTGTTGCACAGATACAATCCGACGGGCGTTTCGGTGGGCGATGAAGAGTGGAATAATGGGCACCGTTAGTGCTCTCAGGAAGTGGGAGGATATGGGTCGAAAGACGATAAACGGAGCCAGGACATGCTAATTGGTCAAGGTACGTCAACCGTGCATCACCCACTTCATGTTATAACAGAACTCCAAGCAGCGCTTCGCACCACCCTCGTCCTCCACTTGACAAGTGTTCAAAAAGATTCACTGCTCAAAGCTACGATGGTGTAGTCCGCTGGCCGTGTGGCGGCCTTTTGCTGAAACAACGTGTAAGTACACACCGTAAACACCAGAATCAAAAATGTTCACTAACCTTCATCAAACAGCATAGTTGGTGCGCAATGCCTCTTGACGACGCCGTTGATGACAACGAGAAACGACGGCCAGCTGGCTGCGGGGCGTATAGAGGAGTTTCTGCATGGACGGATAACGAGTGTATGCGAAGGAGACAATCGACAACGAAGGGCGGCCTTTTGTTGAGTTACTATGACGGTCATTTACTCAGGTCTACCCATATTGACAACAAAGTGACGCTTGATGTGCGAGGCACTTTTACACTCAAACTCTTACATTGATGTAGATAGATTTGCAGTCCTCAAATGTTACTAGTCACTAATTGAACTGTAGTAACCCAGAGTAATTCATAGCATTGATAGCCAGCATAGATCTGGGCTGTAACTATCCATCCGACCAATAAGATATCGTGTCCTTAATTAGCTCTCAGCACTATCAAAATAACAGGGCATGCTATGATGACCAATGTGGTTACATGTTGTGCCCTGATAAGGTACAGGGCCTACATTATGTGCATATGGCTACAGATCAAACCGGCGATCTATCGGAGAAATCACCTTTTCCTGTTGAAGGATAACTTTACCTGTGAGGTCGAGCAGGTCCTTTGAGGGGTCAAAACTTCGAGACCACAACATGAGTGAAGGGAACTGAAACAATTTGCGTCGTCACGCCACCGTCACTGGGAGAAACATGGCTTAAGTAAATGCTTCCATGACCGCTTCGAATGGCCAACTGGTCGCAGCTTGTTGTGGTATAGGATCAGAGAAGTGGGATTGAATTTAAATGCTGACGTTAAACTGGCCCGCTCAAGCCCGGTTTCAACAACATGAAACCCGAGGAAGATAGCAAGAAGATGGAGTAAGATTCCTATAAGTAATCCCATAGCACTCATCCTGAAGTTGCTCTTGTCGCACGGTAATGCTGGGCAGGGTTATTTCCCCACAGGAGTTAAATATACATGACATTGCTCACGTTCAAGATGCCTCCCTAAACGGTGTTTCTGTGCCGGGCTGGGTGGGGGAATGATCGCCTTGGGCATGCCTTCACCAGTGCATGGGGGGATCTCACGGGGTTAGGCATAAAATGGCATTAGGGGCCATGGGTAGTCTACTAAGTTGTAACGTCTGACATGGGGCTCTGCCCCGATGGACTATAAATTTGACTCGAAAAAAAAAAATACATGACATTTCTCTGAATTTGTTTTGATGAGCAGGGGCAGAGCCGCAAAAGCAGAGGTAGAGGTGGGCCGTGACCGAGAACCGCTGACAATTGGATAGAGGAAACATGGTCGACTAGATACGGTGCTAACCATTCCTTGAACTGAGATGATGGTTATAGAGGTATTTCAAGTTGCGGGATTCCGTTGAAGGGGAACCAGCAAACTTGTAACTTTGGAAAGGCTGTGGGGGGATTAGATGCGATAAGTGAAAAAGGACTCGAGAAAGTACAGTACGGAGAGAAGCAAGGATGACCTCACGACTGAAGTCGTTCTTGGAGTCTTTAAAGTCCTAAATTGTACGTTCGGATCAGCGGGAAGTGAGCTGTGAGAGGGGTTTCTAGATGTGACCTATGTAACAATCCTAACATACTGAGTCTTGCCCATTCCCATGTCTTCTTCAAGGAAGGCGACAGGGTTAGAGTGCAGTGTTGGTTGCAACTTCAAGCCCCACGCCAAAAGTGGCACGAGGGTGTTGTGGATTTCACGAGCTGAAAATGTTCCTGGTTTCCCAGGCCAGGTGCCTATACGGTGCAGCCATTGCACCCTCTGAGGAGTTAATGCCATGGCCTCGGCAAATCCATACCCATGCGTGTTTATCCACATTTGCGTGGATTTAAACCACTGGATATCCAGTGGTTTTGCCAACACTGAACGTCACATTGCTGAGACGACCGAAGCGAAGTGAGTTGAACAACACTCGGAGTCCCTCGCTTGATTGATTATCATGATTTCTGGTTCGACAAAGTTGTACGGTTGAGCAACGGTTGAGTCAACAAGACTGAACAGAAAAAACTTAAAGAATGGCTTAGCGCTCACTATCTGCAATGCTTCAGTCTGAAGGTCAGAAATTGGGTGGTCGCAATGATGATCAGAATGTTACGAGACTCAGAAAATAGATCACTTACAATTGGCTTACGAGGGAACTCTGTTTATAGCTCAGTACAGTCATTCACCGGTCACTGAGTCACACTACTCAGTGAGTCAAAACACTTTTCCGGGGTCAGTTCTCTAGCTATTTCTTTAATTCTTTCTCCGTTGTGTGCGCATATATAGTCTTTATAGTAATCCCAAGTTTCTAAGCTGTAGCATGTTTTGATCTCTTGATATCTGCAGATAAGTGCTCCTTCACCATAAAACTGAATATTATCTGAGTGATCTTGGCCCTAGATTTTGGAAAAGAGCCATTTTTGTTTTATAATATCTTAAGGCATTCAATAAATGTTCTATTACAAGAGTTTTGAGCTGAGCTGATACTCCAGTGAACCAAATGGACCAGAAAGGGGGAAGGTCACATTCTGTCACACTTGCCACAGACATCTGATGAAGTGATGGGAAACTGAAGTGACTAAGCAAAATGCCCAAATTAGGACAGTGTGACATCTGCCTCATTGACTGGTTTCACACTGATCTTCGTTGGCAGCACTGATAACATGCGATATACTATTCAACAACGTGAATTTGAGTTTATAACTAGGTATTACATAGAGTACAATGTATGCACACACTTCTCTCAGTTCATAATGTCCAAATCCCTTGTATTTAAAATTTTCGATGCCATTCTTTATTTGGGTGCCTCATTGACTGGTGAATGACTGTATGTGATAGATACAATGTGCCGAAATCAATGAGATTTTCAATCACGGCTTTGTCCTTTTCTTCATTCCTTGCTCCAAGGTAAACATTAGTGCCCTTCCTTGCAACATGTTTCCTTTCATGGTAGTAAGAGTACCCAGAGACAAGTCGGAGCCAGAGATGACAGTTAGAGTTCGAATGTGTTTGGCAAGAGCAATCCACTTCAGTTCGAACTCCACACGTTCACACCATTTTCTTTGTTTCTTTGAATATCGGACTTACCTGTAATGACAGCCGCCAAGTTAATTTATGCTATACACAAACTTCTATGGCGTCTTCAGGAAAACGTGACGAACCCTTACACTCGGAGCATCTCTCTCAACCTTGATATTCATAGTTCTGAACTTGCTGCAAACTTCACCTTACCCTATGGCCTTGTATTGAAACCTGTGGTGCTTCCGAAATACTGGGATCCAAAGTACGGAAAATGGATACCTTCTCCGTGAGGCATTTCAGATGCGGATTTGTGGAATATGTTTCATAAATGCCACCCAGACTTTTCTATGGCTGCTGGTGGCTCTGTCGGTCACAATAAAGAGAAGGAGCAGAAGACTAGAGGCAGGAGAGTCGCTTCGTGGGAATGGATTCTCGAGGATGGTAAGCCACCGAGAGAATGGGATGCGGAGGCATTTATTGAGCGCAGCCTCAAATCTAGAGGAGGCGTCGTGTTTATTGGGGGTGAGGTTTGATGCTGACTTTGGCCTTTTGGTTAATCGAATTTATTTTGTAGATTTGGTGGCAGGCCAGATGATGAGCGACTTGCAGACCTTGCTTGGACAACACCATGGAAATCATCCACGCCAAGTGACGGAGTGAATCAAGTTGGAAGACAACAACAATTTTGTCTTGGCTTCATGGCTTACTTTATCTCCTAAGAACCTGCTCTATGAGCGACTTCTAGCCAAGCCTTCTCTCGCTGAGGTGCCTCTTGCATGATTTTCCAAACCAATCTTTACGATGTATCACTCTGACAACCTACTGATGGAGGACAAACTCGACAATATACTGAGAACTGTTGGAATGACTGAACTTTTGAACTGGATTCACCATCAAGGAAAAGGCGACTGGCATCAAGGCCTTTGGAATCTCAGCATGGGAGCCTCTTGGCTGGGCTAACTGGATACAATAGTCGTCATCAACACAGGGCCTCACTATAGCCTGTTGCACATGGCGCCTGCAAATGACGATCAACTCATCAAGTCCTATGAAATAGTAATTAAAAAAGTCTACAATTTCTTGTCCGCCCCACCTGTCCCAACCCTCACTTTTTTTTGTGCTACTTCGCCGGTGCACCAGAACTGTGGTGCATACTCTCAGCCCGTCTTGAGCAACTCAAGCGTGGCAAAGAACCCCTCACCGGAATGGCATATGTTTCCTGAACTCAATCGGATTGCAAAGAAGTTTTTTGCAGACCAGAACTCAACGACAACACGATACCTTGATATTTGGCCATTGTCGGTTCAGAGACCTGACGCTCACACGGGTTGGCATAAAGATCAGTTGCATTGTCTTCATGTGGGCACTCTTGTTGTGCTGCGACTATGGCGGTCTGTTTGGGTAAGTATTCCCAGAGTTCATATGTCGGCGCGGAAAAATGTATGTTGTGTGCACAACTATTTGTAGTGTTGCGCGAAAATACAGTCACTGCGCAGAATCATTAGTATACTTGTGCAGAATTAAGTTCAGTGCGCGCAAATGTTGATTGTGCGCAGAAAAGTCGATATGTGTGTGCAAAAATTCATTTGGTTGTGCAGAAACTTTTACTACATGCGCGGAAACTTATTGACAGATTTATGAGGTGCCCAGAAATATTATCAGTGCCGCAAAAATTATTATTTGTGTGCAGAAATTACTGGTTCCCTTGTGCGGATTCTTTGGTTTCCTACCATTTTAGGAATGCCATGGTGCTGTGGTTGGGTAATTGATCCTGTAATCAGAGTTTAAAATGTAACAATATCGCTTTATGAATATTATCTTCACCAATCTGAGTCTAAAATATTACAATATCTTTTTATGAATATTATCTTCACCAATCTTATCTTATAATATCTTATCTGTGTCACCGATCTGAGCATAAAAGATCAAAACAGAAAAGATTTATTGCCTCACACATGTGAGGTGTAAAGATAAGTCCTGATTTAAGCATAGTGAGACATAGAGGTAAGCATAGTGAGATATAGAGTCAGGTAAGCAGATAGTCCGAAGTGATCAAAGTACGACAAGGAGTGGAAAAGGTAAGACATCCAGGAGCTGGTTGAACAACATGGTATGGGTGGTACCATCACACTAAGATACCTCCATCTTATCCTCAGTTTTCTTGACCTTCTGTATCCAAGCTCCCCTCTCCAAACCATTGGTTGGGCTTTCTCCCTGGCACCATTGAAAGCCCTCAGGAAGTGTGTAAGTCGCACTCCATGGGCACTCTTGGCACTTGAGAATGCTTGATTGCTGTCTCGTAGACTTGGGAGATGTTTTGAAGCCACTACATTCTGGGCACTGGATCGAAGCTGGAGTATCATTGCCCATCAGGCGAGCACCTGGGTGTGTCCATCAAAATGTGGTAATGGCATTTGGTTGGAATAAAACAACATTGGTATGAGCCCCAAGGGCTTGTTGCTCTCGAAGGACATTGATTAGGCCAATCCAATCATGAACATAGTTCTGCACAGCCAAGTCCATCACAAATTTATGGGTGGATGATGGCTGGAAGTTAGGTTGGGAAAAACAGAGAATTTTGTTGAAGAGGTCTCTGAGAAATAAATGTCAAAATTCATCTTTCATATCATGGATAAAAACGTACTGAGCAGCTATGCCTTTTACAGCATCCCTGGAGTCGGGCCGACTTGATAGGGCCCCACAAGACAGCAAATTCAGAATATTTTTGCTTTTCTCCCTTTTCAACAGATTACAAAAACACTCTGGAAAAAGAACCACCCACAGCTGTAATGGAACATAATAGATTAGAATAGTGGCCAAGAAGCAAGATATACTGACTTGATCAACAGGTCCTGCACTTTTATTGTTTGGGGCTGTGTGCAGGTCCCCTGATTCTGGAACACAGTGGGTCGTAATAACAACCAAGAACCAAGTCCACCTGATTGAAATATTAGCTTCAGAAAAATAATGTTGAAGTCACCATCTTCAAACTCTTGAAGCATGTTTTCTAACTGGGAGTTGAAATGCTTTCTCGGCTTGTCGAAGTTGAACATCAAATTTATGAGTACCAGATTGCCATGAAGATAAGGGGCTAAATGGTGGTAGGTGAGAATGGATGGCGAGTCTGTCATCCCCTGAAGGTGAATTGAGATGATAGCCAAGGGAGTTGTATTCATAGTGTTTGGAAGTCCGGTCTCATGACTGGAAAAAGACCATAACCAGACCGGACCAAGACCGCAAAAGACCGGACCTGTGGTTATGGTCTTTTATTTTTGAGATGTAAAGACCACAAAAAAACCAGTTAACGTGAACTGGTCTTTTTTTAATGTCAAATTATAGTCTATTGGGGCAGAGCCCCATGTCAGACTTTACAACTTTGTAGACTACCTAAGGCCCCTAATGCCTTATACCTGACCCCCAATGACTATCCCTTGCACTGATGGAGGCACGCCTGTGGCGATCATTCCCCCACACAGCCCGGCATGGAAACACCGTTTAGGGACACGTCTGACTGGCGAGTGGGGTAGTCCCGTTCCCTTGCTAGATTGCATTGTCTGGCTGATATGTGTTTTGGCTATTAAGTACCTGATTGCATTGCGAAAGGTACAGCAGGTGGGACGGAAGCGTTCAGGTGTAAATAGAGTTGAGGTTTGCTGTCCGTTTAGGATGAGATACCATGTGTTTGTCCTGAGATGGTGTGACTTGAGCTAGTTGTCCGCAAGCTGAAATGCGGGTAATAGAAAGGGGAGGGGTGGGCGAACCCGTCGGCTGAAGGCCGACTTAGCTGTTGCATTTCTGCGTATTCGTTAGAGTGCCTGTGAATATCTGGGTGCTATCTGTCAACTTCCTCAGACTCCAAATGAGACACATCACCTATCGAGTCTCCTAGCGACGCCTTGAACCTCGCAGTCCTGCCTACAAACTTCAGCAGCTCCTTAATCCCCTCCATGCTCACCAGGATGCTCTTGAGGTCCCTCGAGTGCCGTCCCAGTGCCCTATCCATGTCATATCTCTCGGCCGCATATGCCTGGCACTCGAAAAGGAAGTGGACCACCATTTCCACGATATCCAGTCTCCCTATGCCCCAGCACATGTCGCACTTCCTGTCCCTGGCCTTGTTTATGCGGTATAGATAGCTGTTGAGGGGCACGTGTCCTGTCTGTAGCTGCATCAGTAAACTTGCCTGTGGCTTGGAGAGCGCGTTGCTAATATTCCAGAACTTGCTGAACGGGAAGTCGGAGTCGATGTGCTGAAACCTTGCATATCATGGTGAGTCCTTCCACGCTTCTGCCCACCTGATCTTCAGCTTTTCGCCGAACTCTTGCTTGACTGCCGCCGCGCTGTAGGGCAAACATTTTCGAAGGGCTGGTGGCAGCTCCTCTGGCGGGCTTGAGTCCCCCTGTGCTGCTTTCTTTGCCTCCTCGTCCACTCTTTCATTCCCTGTGACCCCCTTGTGCACTGCCACCCACTTCAATGCGAACTTGGCTGTACCTGTTGGGCCAGGAATGTCAGTCCCATCATCCATGATCTCCGTTAGCCTCAAATACTCCATGACCAGATACTGCCCTGGCCCTGTCTTTCTCACTCACGTTGATCTGATGAATGCCTGACTGTCAGTATAGCTGGTTATGGTCGACTTCCCCACTTCCGCTCATCCTTGCAACATCCAGGCTGCTAGGATGGACCCCACGGCCTCACCCTCGAACATTGTGTGCTTCGTTAGCGGCCCCAGGTGGAACCACAGAACTCTCTCTGGCTCAGCGAACCCCTTCCTGTAGAGTACCACAGCGGCACCAACACCCCCTTCGTACCCCGATCCATCTGTGTAAATCTTTATATCCACATCGTCTTTCCCCTCATCCTTGATTGACTCTTCTTTTGAACCCGCTATGTTTGCCGTGAACACCCTCTTGTATGTTGGTGGTCGAGTGTCTGGCCGTATCGTTTCGAACTGTCTTGGCCTAACCTTGAAGCATTTGATCAACTTCTGAAGGGGGGCAAGATGGGTCTTCGCTGGTGTTTTGCTGTAACTTTGAATCATGGCTCGCGTAGGATGGCCAGGGGGCAGTGTTGCTGCCCGTACTGTTGCCGCATGACAGATCTGTTCGAGCATTAGCCCCACCGGCAGAACCCTGGCATGTGCATCCAGCAGGTCATTAGGTGAGGTCCACAGCCCTCCTGTAATCGCCCGCGTGGCAATTCACTGTATCTTACCCATTAACTTCAAAGCCCTCACCAATCCACTGTTGTTCCGCAATCCCTCCTTCTTGTGTGGAGGGACATACCACACATCCAGCGCATAGGTAATCTTGGGAACTGCCACCGAGATGTAGAGGAGCCACATAAGCCTGGGCCAGATACCTAGACTTGTGCGCATCAGCCTTCAAAACATCAGAACATAAGAGGTCGCCTTCGCTATCGCTTCGTTTTCATGTATCTTCCACCTCAGCTGGCTGTCAACGTGCACTCCCAGATACTTATAACTCTCCACCTCCTTCACCACAGTCCCTCTCAGCCATAGTACAGGGTTCGGGCGGTCGCTGGGCTTCCTCGCTCTGGGTTGACAATGCATAATGGTGACCTTGCTGATTTCGAAATTGGAGTTGTGATCTCTCACTAGTGGGCACCACTACTTATCATAACTTATAGTCAATTGCCTGCACAGTCATTTATTTGCAGCCCAGAAAAAATATGAAATGAAATGGCTAGGCAAATGAAATGATATGTGTCTTATTTCATTCTGCCTACCTTACACTGCGAACATATCAAAATACCAAGATAAAAATATTTTAAGAGTATTTTGATGGTACATAAATTTTTTCCAAAATACCATCCACTAGGTATGTGGTTTATATGAGAAAAAATATTTTATTACTGTTGCTAAAGTACCTGATTAGTATCTTGATTATATTCAAGGGTTTTTTCTCAGTACTGGCTCATGTACTGTAAGAATACTTCCATCACAGTATCTTAACTTTTGAACAAAATATCTTTAATATACTGACATGTCAATATTGGAAGAGTATGATGCTGCAAAAGAAAGATACTTCTTCCATACTGACAAGTAAATATAAAGAAGGTATTTTAAAAGTATGAAAATATATTGCATTTTTATGTCACATATCAACACAATATTAGTCAGATCCTCATTGAAGATAGGTAACATACTTTAATGCCAGTATTGTGGTGGTATCAAGAATAGATAAACAATACTGACTGACAAGTATATTGTTAGTATGGAAAAAGTATGAGAGTGAAATATTTTCATAGTGTTTCAATATTGCAGACAGAGTATCTAATTAGTATGTTGTTAGTACAAAGGAAATATTAAAGTGAGATATTTATATAGTGTTTCAATATTACAGGCAGAGTATCCAATTAGTATGTTGTTAGTATGGAAAAAATATGAGAGTAAAATATTTATATAGTGTTTCAATATTGTGGGCAGAGTAGTATATTGCAACATTATACCATACTTTTTGAGGGCTATATTACATACTTTCATAATAGAATGATGGTATGGGCTGACAGAAATTTAGAAAGTATCTGAAGGGTATGATTTCTTGGAAATACATAATTTTAAAGTGAGGACTCAATACTGAAGAGAGAGTATTGAATTCATATTATAATACTAAACAGTATATTAAATAAATACTAGAGAAAGAGTACTGAAAGCATATTTCAAAACTAAACAGAATCAGCATACCAGCCTGATACCAGTCCCTCAATGATATTGATGGTATCTAAGATTATTACTATGAAAGTACAGTGCAATAACAATAAGAGTAATCAGAAAGTATTAGAGTGATAACATAATGTTAATAAACAAGTATCATTCAAGTATGATAATATTGTTCATAGAACACTTGGAGTACTAAAAAAGTATGAAATGAGATGATGATGGTACTAAAATAATATGAGAAAAGTATTATATAGGGGTACTAGGATCTGAAGATGAGATATGATAGCTGTTTTTATAAGAATAGGCCAAAAGTTCTGTATTTGGTCAAGAAGGCCTATCATTATGAAAACAGCTGGAATATCTGGGCATTGGCAGATTTGCAGGATCTGGATATAAATACCCATGGATCTATGGATCTAGAGAACCTGTTAATGCATGAATATAAAGATTTGGATCTGTAAACCCATGGATGTAGAGATACTTGGATCTGAGGATCTGTGATAGACATCTGAAGAACAGTGGATCCATGGATCCAAGGGTGTAGAGATACTGGGATCTGAGGATCTGCAGATATTAGAGATGTGTAGATCTACGATTGCACAAGTATAAAGATCAGAAGATACATAGATTTGGATAGGA